TCATTTCAGAGGGATGGACTTCAATTCCCAGAATTCTCCAGTCAGCCATGAACCACAAACAACAACCTGATTAGGGCGCTGGAGACTAAAACATACTAGTTTTATGAAGAGAAGGACGAGGGGGGGGGGACATGATAGCAGTGTTCCAGTATCTCAGGGGCTGCCCCAAAGAAGAGGGAGTCAAGCTATTCTCCAAAGCGCCTGAAGGCAGGACGAGAAGCAAGGGATGGAAACTCATCAAGGAGAGAAGCAACCTGGAACTAAGGAGAAACTTCCTGACAGTGAGAACAATTAACCAGTGGAACAACCTGCCTCCAGAAGCAGTGAATGCTCCAACACTGGAAGTTTTTCAGAAGAGACTGGACAGCCATTTGTCCAAAATGGCATAGGGGTTTCCTGCCTGAGCAGGGGGTTGGACTAGATGACCTCCAAGGCCCCTTCCAACTTTATCATCATCATCATCATCATCATCATCATCATCATCATCATCATCATCATCATCATCATTATTATTATTATTATTATAAAATGTACAGGAATTGGGTATATCTGGTCTAGTGGAAAGAAGGATGAGGGGGGACACGATAGCACTCTTCCAATATTTGAGGGGCTCCTACAAGGATGAGCGGGGTCAAACTACTTTCCAAAACACTGCAAGGCTGGACAAGAAGCAATAGGTGGAAACTAACTGAGAAACAACCTAGAACTAAAGGGAAATTTCCTGACAGCCAGAGCAATCCACCAATGGAGTAGCTTGCCTTCTGAGGTTGTGGGTGCTCCATCAGAGGTTGGACAACCATTTGCCTTCAATGGTATAGGGCAGGGGTAGGCAAATGAGTTGTGGACTTCAACTCCCAGAATTCCTGAATTCTGGGAGTTGAAGTCCACGACTCATAAAAGCGCCAAGGTTGCCTACTCCTGGTATATCCCTTCTAATTCTATTATTCTATGTTCTATGAATTCTGGGAGTTGGTCCACCCATCTGAAAGTGGGCCAGATCGACAGACACTGCTCTACAGTCAACCTTGAGTCATGGGTGAAGACTCCCAACTAAACGGGATGCGGACGGGGCCCCTTCAACTTAGCACAAAATATACCACTTGGGGGGATCTTAAACTTTATTGGAGTTTAAGGGCCTGGTGAAAACAGGTGGTGCCTCCTGATGACACACTGACCTGACTTCTCCCAACTAATTTTCAGTAGAGCTTTCACATTTTATTGTTTTATGTGATTTCTCTCCAAGTTAATGTCTTAATTTGAAGGCTACACAGAGGTCCGTGGTACAATGCATGACAGATAAACATGTCCAATCCAATCCAATTCAATTTAATCCAACTGAACCAATCCAAATCAAATCCAGACAACACAACATGACACAACACAATCCACTCCAACACAACACGATCCAACTCAATTCAACCCAATGCAAGCCAAACCAAGCCAAACCAGCCCAGTCTAATCCAATACAATCCAAAACAATCTAACACAATCCAACTCAACCCAACCCAGTCCATCCAATCCAATCCAACTCAACCCAGATCAACCCAATCCAATGAAATCTACAGTAATCCAATACAACCCTACCCAACACAAGTCAAATCAACCCAATGCAATCCAACTCAACCTAACCTAATGCAATCCAACTCAACCCAACCCAACCCAATGCAACCCAACTCAACCCAACCCAATCCAACCCAACCCAACCCAACCCAACCCAATCCAACCCAACTCAACCCAACCCAATCCAACCCAACCCAACCCAACCCAACCCAATGCAACCCAACTCAACCCAACCCAATGCAATCCAACTCAACCCAACCCAACCCAATTCAACCCAACTCAACCCAACCTAATGCAATCCAACTCAACCCAACCCAACCCAATGAAATCCAACTCAACCCAACCCAACCCAATGAAATCCAACTCAACTCAACCTAACCCAACCCAACTCAACCCAACCCAACCCAACCCAATGGTGCAACTGGGGCAGAAGGATACAAGAGGCTGCCCCATTACCCCATTGCCTGCCCTCTTGACTTCTTTGATCATCCCTTGGAGACAGCCCTGTTCACTCTTTGCCCGTGCAGGTTAGCTTCCTCTGTAAGGGTGCCCAGCTGGAGCTGGATCCACGTGGAGACCACCTGGGGGCAACATCTGTGGGCCGGGTGGGGTGTTTTTTTCCTCCAGGGAGGCGCTCTCTTTGCCCCCCTGGCTTTGAGGGGGCTCATCGGAGCCAAACCTGCTGGGTGCCTCCCTGGCATTTCCCCTTTCAGCTCCCCTCCGTCACTGTAGCAAAAACTTTCCACTGAGATCAAAGGGGGGGTGGAGAAGAAAGGGGGGGAGATGAAAGGAGCGTGCAGACCCACCCCCACCCCCCACCCCCCAGCCTGGAAAAGGCCCCACACCAGGACTCCTCCTGGCCTGGCAGGGTGCTCAGCTTACATGGCCTTATTAAGGCCGTGGCCAAAAAGTTCCTCCTTGTTTGGAAAGTGGGCACCTGGCCTGGCTAGGGCAGCCGTGGGGGAGAACTTCCTTGCTCTCCAGGGGCGGCCCACCCCTCCCTCCCCAGCCCTGGGTTCAAGCCTTCCACATCAGCCTTTTGTCGGCTGGCTTAACTCCTGCCCTGCAGCGTGGCCCTTTTTTCACACCAGTTAGTGGTAAACTATCCCCCCTCCCCTCATCCCCCCCGTTGGGCGGTGGGCACACAAAGGGACCCCTGAAGCTGTCAGAGTCACGGCTTGGACCAACTCTACTGCCTGATCCTGATGGGGGCGGTGGGGCGGGGGCTCGGGAAGTTTTCGAGAACATACGGCATGCAGAGAAACAAGGAAGGGTTTTGTGGGTCTCTCTCCCCCTTAAAGAAAACCCACCAAGGTTCTAGTCCTCATGGCTCAGAATAAAGGGAAGACAGTCCTCGACCATTTGGGGGCCAGGATTTCTGCTGCTAAGCGGGGCGATTAGCTGAGTGAGTCACATCCAGTTTTGTGACTTTTTTTTTTCTTGCCCCCGGTCCTTAAGCGAATGACTGCCATCGTTAAGTGAATCGTGGGATGGGGGAGTCATTGAACGAATCTGGCTTTCTCCCTTTGACTTGGCTTGTCGGTCACGTGACTCTGGGAGGCTGTAACTGTTATAAATAAATGCTGGTTGCCGGCTGAATTTGGAGCACATGACCACGGGGGTGCCGCGACCGTCGTTAAGTGTGGAAAAAAATGGTCAAAAGTCCCTTTTTTCAGCGCCATTGACCCTGAACTACAAATATTCCATGGGTGATGCATTCGCTCTTCCATAAGTTGGTCTTTCTTTTTCTTTCTTTCTTTCTTTCTTTCTTTCTTTCTTTCTTTCTTTCTTTCTTTCTTTCTTCCTTTCTTTTTCTTTCTTTTTCTTTTTCTTTCTTCCTTCCTTCCTTCTCCCTCCCTCCTTTCCTCCTTCCCTTTATTCCTTTCTTTCTTTTTCTTTCTTTCTTCTTTCTATCTTTCTTTCTTTTTCTTCCTTCCTTCCTTCCTTCTCCCTCCCTCCTTTCTGCCTTTTCTTTCTTTCTTTCTTTCTTTCTTTCTTTCTTTCTTTCTTTCTTTCTTTCTTTCTTTCTTTCTTTCTTTCTTTTCTTCCTTTCTTCCTTCCTTCCTTCTCACTCCCTCCTTCCCTCCTTCCCTTTCTTTCTTTCTTTCTTTTTTTTTCTATCTTTCTATCTATCTTTCTATCTTTCTTTTTCTTCCTTCTCTCTCCCTCCTTCCCTCCTTCCCTTTCTTTCTTTCTTTCTTTCTTTTTTTCTTTCTTTCTTTCTTTCTTTCTTTTAAATTCTCCCTTCCCCGAGGAGGCTGGGGGTCTGGGGATTAAACTGCCTCCCTCAACCATGGTGAATCTCAACCAATCACAGGGTTGGGGCCTGTGACCTTCCCACACCGACCTAGCTGCCTTCACACAGTCCTGGAACCGTGTCATCAGGGAAGGGAACCGAGGATCATCTAGTCCAGCCCACTGCAATTGCAGGAAAGCCAGCCGAATCTTGTCTGGAAACCCTCCGGCAATGGTCCAAAAGATGCTTTTTTCAAGAGGCAACTGGACTTCCTTGTTTTTTTTCTCTGAAGACGTTTCTCTTCTCACCCAAGAAGCTTCTTCAGCTCTGACCGGATGGTGGGGAAGGGAAGGATTTATACTCCTTGCAGACAGCCAGTCATTTGCCTTCTTTTAGAGAGTCCTTGAGGCCACTTGGAGGTTTATCTGTGTCCTCATGGGACTTTCTTATTATTCTTTGAAGACATTTCCCTTCTTATCCCAGAAGCTTCTTTAGCTCTGACCGGATGGTGGGGAAGGGAAGGATTTATACTCCTTGCAGAGAGCTGGTCATTTGCATCCTTTTGGAGAGTCGTTGAGGCCACTTGGAGGTTTACCTGTGTCCTCAGGGTCAGCTGAGTAGAAAGAACACCATCTACCTCCAGTCTACAACACAGTCCTTTCGGCAGTTCCAAGGATGCTCCACCCCCATTTGCACCCCTCAGCTGACCCTGAGGACACAGACAAATCTCTGAGTGGCCTCAACGACCATCTAAAATGATGCAAATGACTAGCAGTCTGCAAGAAGTATAAATCCTTCCCTTCCTCACCATCCGGTCAGAGCCGAAGAAGCTTCTGGGATGAGAAGTGAAATGTCTTCAAATAAAAGGCTCCACATCCATTTGCACCCCTCAGCTGACCCTGAGGACAGAGATAAACTTCCAAGCAGCCTCAACGACTCTCCAAAAGGATGCAAATGACCAGCCGTCTGTAAGGAGTATAAATCCTTCCCTTCCCCGCCATCCGGTCAGAGCCGAAGAAGCTTCTGGGATGAGAAGCGAAACGTCCTCAAAGGAAAAAACAAAGTCCAGTTTGGAAAGCCCTCTTGAAAAAGCACTTTGGGGACAACCAAGTCCTGGAGGATGGAGAACCTCCATAGACCTCCGGTAACGGAGCCCCCACCACCCCCCACCCGGATCTGAGGAAGAAGAGCCCCCCGGACTTACCCGCGCAAGGATTCGTGGCCCCTCCGTCGCACCCGGCTGGATGGGGGCTTCCTTTCCGAGTCGGAGAATCGGCTGGCCTGGACCTCCTCCCCCTGCTCGCCGGTGGCCACCTCTTGGCGGAGAGCCAGCGATGCCCAGAAGCCCAGGGCGAAGTGGGCGAGCCAGACCGCTGCCCTCATGATGGGATCCGGGCGTCCAAGGGGGGTCCGTTGGGCAGGCAGGTCCAACGGGCACGGGGCAATCCAAGACCCCTGTGAGAAGGTTTACATCAAAATGTAATTTCGCCCTTTTTTTCTTTTTTTAACCGTTTCTATCTTCCCCTGGAAATATGAACGGAATCCACAAAGGGCTGAGAAATCGGGAGCTCCGCGACATATAATTGACAATCGAGCTGAAACTAAACGAATCCAGTAAAAATAGCAAACGGGGGGGGGGCGGAAATTCTTTGTTCAAACGTCCTCTCAAGGCCCCCCCCCAATAAGTTACCCAGACCCAATCCACATATCAAAGGATAAGGTCTGCACACGTGACCTTAGGTCTCCCAGAGGAAACGACATGTTCACAAGAATAAACATACCTACACACACACACACACACACACACGGCCCTCAAGTGTCACCCTAGAATCAGCACCTAGACCAGGGGTAGGCAACCTTGGCTCTTTTATGACATGTGGACTTCAACTCCCAGAATTCCTGAGCCAGCCATGCTGAGGGAAAGGGAGAGTTTCCAAGCTGAGCCAGGCTGTCTCAGGAATTCTGGGAGTTGAAGTCCACAAGTCATGAAGGGGCCAAAGTTTCCCCCATGCTGGCTCAGGAATTCTGGGAGTTGAAGTCCAACACTGGAAGTTTTTAAGAAGAGACTGGACAGCCATTTGTCCGAAATGGTATAGGGTTTCCTGCCTGAGCAGGGGGTTGGACTAGATGACCTTCAAGGTCCCTTCCAACTTTACTATTATTATTATTATTATTATTAAGTCATAAAAGAGCCAAGGTTGCCTACCCCGACCTAGACACTTCAAGCTCCCCCTATAAAAATCTGCCGCTGTGCCCCATTTCTTCGCTGCCTGCCCCCCAAATGCAAACTGTTTCGCTTTTTAGGAATAAATATTTCTTCTTTTCCTCACAGCTGCCTGGATCTCATATTTACGTATTATTCTTGTGCACAATTAAAGAGAAGAGATTGGGCGGCCCTCGGTCTGAAACGGCATAGGGGTTTCCTGCCGGAGCAGGGGGTTGGACTAGATGACCTCCGAGGTCCCTTCCAGCACTGTTATTCTGATCTTTCCACAGCAGACGCCCTGATATCTCCCCAGGGCTGCGGCGTTACACCCCGCGCCACTCCTGACATTTCCTTGCCTTCCTGGGACTATTGCCAATGGTCAATATAACAGAACAACGGAGTTGGAAAGGACACTAATGGGCCCGGAGACCCCTAACCTGGCCCTTAGGCTTCGTTCACACAGCACTAAAGGGCCCGGGAGAGGCCCTGATCCAGCAGACTAAAAACCGGGTTCGGGGTACCCTCGTTTCTTTAGGGGGTTGCCTAAACACAATCCGAGGGGGGAATTTTGTGTCCCGTGTGGTGGACTTCAACTCCCAGAATTCCTGAGCCAGCATGAGGGAACTATGGCCCCCTCATGACTGGTGGACTTCAACTCCCAGAATTCCTCAGCCAGCATGGGGGAACTGTGGCCCCCTCATGACTGGTGGACTTCAACTCCCAGAATTCCTCAGCCAGCATGGGGGAACTATGGCCCCCTCATGACTGGTGGACTTCAACTCCCAGAATTCCTCAGCCAGAATGAGGGAACTATGGCCCCCTTCATGACTGGTGGACTTCAACTCCCAGAATTCCTGAGCCAGATGGGGGAACTATGACCCCCTTCATGACTGGTGGACTTCAACTCCCAGAATTCCTGAGCNCCCCCTTCATGACTGGTGGACTTCAACTCCCAGGATTCCTGAGCCAGCATGGGGAAATTATGGCCCCCTTCATGACTGGTGGACTTCAACTCCCAGAATTCCTCAGCCAGCATGAGGGAACTATGACCCCCTTCATGACTCGTGGACTTCAACTCCCAGAATTCCTGAGCCAGCGTGGCTCAGCTTGGAAACCTCTCCCTTTCCCCTCAGCGTGGCTGGCTCAGGAATTCTGGGAGTTGAAGTCCACGAGTCATAAAAGAGCCAAGGTTGCCTACCCCTGGACTAGGGAATTCTGGGAGATGAAGTCCACCCCTCTTGAGAAAGATTGTCCTTGTAGGAAACACAAAGGCAGGGAGGGGGGGGGGTTAATGCAGTCCTGTCTGTCTCCTTTCATCCCCCTTGATCAAGGGGGCCGCCAGGCATGGTGTTTCCCAAGGAGACCCCCCCTCCTTCCTCTTTCCCTCCCTCCCTCCCTCCCCCCCTCTCTTCCAGCAATCTCTCTGAGACTCGGCCTGCTCCCCAGCTGCTCCTTATCGCTTTCCCAGGCCTGCCAGTTATCCGGCCCTGGAATGCTCGGCTGTTCCTCCTTTCCCAATTTGGACAACTGGAACACGCATCCCTGCCCTGGGCCAGCCACCGGCTCGCCTTGATCTTTCTTTAACCGGATGCCGGGAAGTGAAAAGTCCAGAGGACGGTGAGGAACGCAAAGCGGGACGTGCAAAAAGTGCCAGGCAGAATAACAAGAGTCGGAAGGGACCTCGGGAGGTCTTCTAGTCCAACCCCCTGCTCGGGCAGCAGACCCCGTGCCGTTTCAGACAAAGGGTTGTCCAATCTCTTCTTTAAAAGGAGGAGGAGGAGGAGGAGGAGGAGGAGGAGGAGGAGGAGGAGGAGGAGGAGAATAAGAGAGTTGGAAGGGACCTCAGAGATCTACTAGTCCAACCCTCTGCTTGGGCAGGAGACCCCAGACTGTTTCAGACAAATGATTGTCCAATCTCTTCTTAAAAAGGAGGAGGAGGAGAATAACAGGAGTTGGAAGGGACCTTGGAAGTAGTAATAATAATAATAATAATAATAATAATAATAATAATAATAATAATAATAATAATAATAATAATAATAATAATAAAATAATAATAATAATAATAATAATAATAATAATAATAATAATAATAATAATAATAATAATAATAATAATAATAATAATAATAATAATAATAAATTAAATTGGAAGGGACCTTGGAGATCATCTAGTCCAATCCCCTGCTCGGGCAAGAGACCCTATACCATGTCAGACAAATGGCTGTCCAGTCTCTTCTTCAAAACTTCCAGTGTTGGAGCATTCACCGCTTCTGGAGGCAAGGAGTTCCACTGGTTAATCGTTCTAACTGTCAGAAAGTTTCTCCTTAGTTCTAGGTTGCTTCTCTCCTTGATGAGTTTCCATCCGTTGCTTCTTCTCCTGCCTTCAGGGGCTTTGGAGAATAGCTTGACTCCCTCTTCTTTGGGGCAGCCCCTGAGATACTGGAAGGCTGCCATCCAGTCCCTCCCCCCCCACCCCCGTCCTTCTCTTCACCAGACCCAACTCCAGCAACTGCTGCTGCAGCCGCCTCAACCACCAGACTTTGCCCAGCAGGATGTTCTGACCCCCCCCCCGCCCCCTCTGGCCCTGGGGGGGGGGGAAGAGCTCTGAAAGGGAGCCAGGGGGCAAATGGGGCAGGGGAGGCGTCCGGCTTTTCGGACTTTGTCCAAAGGGGCTTCCGTTTTTCTGCCTCGCTTGCTTGTGAACGCCTTGCCATTTTCTCTCGGAAGCCTCTTAAGGCCATTTTTCCGAAGCCCCCCAGCAGCCACAGGAGAGTGGCTGCCCAGACTGTCTCCCCCCCCCCTGGGACTGAGGGGAGAGAGGCTGTAGAGGGGGGGGGCTCAGAAGAAGAAGAAGGGGCTTGCCTGCCCCCCACCCCACCCCAACAGCACCACTACCTTCAACGGCTTGCCTTCAAAAGCTGTGCATGCTCCATCCCTGGAGGCTTTTAAGAAGAGACAGGGGTAGGCCACCTTGGCTCTTGGATGACGCGTGGACTTCAACTCCCAGAATTCCTGAGCCAGCTATGCTGGCTCAGGAATTCTGGGAGTTGAAGTCCACGCGTCATCCAAGAGCCAAGGTGGCCTACCCCTGGTGTCCTGCTTGAACAGGGGGTTGGACTAGAAGACCTCCGAGGTCCCTCCCAACTCTGTTATTCTGAATGATTGATTTCCCAGTGGTCCTCCAGCCAAGGTTTCAATTGGGCCCAGCTCTGATTAGGTTTGTGGAAATCAGGCAAGGTCACCTACTTGGGTGCTTCTCTGCCTGGTTTAAAAACAGCAAAGCATGTTCCAACCCTGGTTGCAGCACCTGAACCAGGTATGCCTTTCTGAGTTTTGCTCCACACTCAGGAGGACTGGAATCTTGGTTTCTATTTAAAGGGACAGATCCCCCACTCGGGCCAGCGGTCCTTCTGCATCCAGCACCCGCGTCCCTAAAATAAGACCCTTCCACTCGTGGAAAAGCTGTTCTTTATTTTAAAGGTTTGCCCGTGGTTGGAACTGGCAACCCTCGGGAAGAGCAGCTTCTCGGTAGTTGCCCTGTTTTGAATCCAGTCCCTCCTTGGAGGACTTGAAGTCGGGGCTTCCCTTCTTGTGTTTATTTGAGTTTCTCCTGGAGAAAATTCAGCGAGGGGATTTTTAAAAAGTTTTCATCCAAGGAAGGAAGGAGGAGATGAAAGTAGAAGGAGGGAGGGAGGGAAGGGAGGACGTAGGGGTGAAGGAAGAAGGGAGGAAGTAGGAGGGAGGAAGTAGGAAGGGAGGGAGGGAAGGGAAAGGAAGGGAGTAGGAGCAAGGAGGAAGGAAAAGGAAGAAGGAGGGAGGAAGGAGGAGATGAAAGTAGAAGGAGGGAGGGAGGGAAGGGAGGA